CCCCACTTTTTGCCCGGTCTTTAGTAGAAATGTTCGTCGGTAAATGAGGTGGATTAGATTTTTTCCTCTTGGTGTTTTCTCTATCGTGTGAGCTCCACACGTTCACTCTATACAGTGTTGTTTACATTCTGTGATGCGCGAGCTGATGACGTCACGTCAAGACGAGTTAACTTTTTTTTCCTGTCAACTTTGTTTGGAAAAATGCGGGGATTATGCGGCCTTTTGATAAATATGCGGCCTTTTAAAAATCTGCGCCATTTTGCTGATTATGCGGTAAATTCTGCGATCGCAGAATCGCGTTTTTCTGGAGGGTCTATATTGGGTAGTAAATAAGGTAGAGGAGGGAGTTGGCATGGAGACATGATGCACTACAACTACTGCACTGGCATTTACTCAGATACAGACAGAAATATATTTCTACATGCACACTGAAGAGTTTTATTGATTAATAATTTAAGCTTATCCAATTAACAATGCATCCGTATTCCCAGTCCACACAGAAGGTGCCTTTATGACTAGCAACTCAAGGAAAGTCAACCTTAACCTTTCATTTGTTAAACGTCAAGTTCCTTTCACTACTTACTATTACATTTGTATTGTAAACTCCAACCAGCTTTGAGCCAAGCCTCTCAGATTTGTTTTGATCCTCCATCAAGTGAGAAACAAGCTTCAATCTTCTCAATCCCCAAGCACTAGACATATCAAATCTTTCTAAAAAATAAATCCATAGGGAAGATCAGAAAAATATATTTTTCCCGGGCAGCTCTTCTTTGAAGAACTAAATGTAATGATTATTGTTAATTATTTGGTCAAGCAAAAACAAAAAACATTCACAGGATCCAGGTTCCTCAATTGTTATAAGTTGCTGCTTTTCTCTCACTCCTGTATGTTAATATAATTCTAAATGTAATGTCTTTGTGTTCGAGACTGTTGGTCCATTATCAATATGAATTTTGAGACTCATTTCTGAGGTTTATTGAACTCAAGATAATCCACATATTAACCACTCCCTTAAATTGCTGTATGCAGTGTAGCATGGCTCTCATTGGCTCAGTTGTTTCTGGGGCCATTTAGATGAAGTGTTTACAAAGAGCCTTGCGCTAGACAAATGAACGCAAGCAGCAGACTCCTTCTCGAGAAACATCTGCCGCCATCCACCGTGACTCAAGGACGTGGGGAAGGTGAAGCTTCAGCTGAATTCAAGGACACGCAGGAGTGGCAATCAATCAAGTTTTTTTTATAGATTCCTTCGTGACACACAAGTGCTAGTGCTCTTCTCCACTGAAAAACAAAAGTTCCCTCCAGAGGAAGTTTCCCTCCCCCACAATCCGCCCCTGCCTGAAACGCCCTGTGTGTAGTCCTTGGTTTACTTCCCTTTACATAGTGACATCACTATGTAACACTCGTGCTTCTATTGACTAGCGCTCCAACACATTGTACGTAATAGGCTAAGGGGCGGGACTTCTCTAAGCGGTTGACCAATCACAACAGAGCCGGCCGGCTGACTGGGCTCTGGTTTCAGACAGAGGGTGAAAAGAGGTGCTGCAGCACAGGCAGTATGAGATGGATAAAGACCTTTTTGAGCATGGAAACATGTCACTGTAAAGGCACTAAACAATAACGAAATCTGAAAATTAGCATGACAGGGCCCCTTCACGCACTTTCTTAATACTTGACTTTTGCATCGAACCAACAGCAGGTCACAGTTACAGGTGAGTGTGATCAGAAGTGGTCCGGACAGGGACAAACTGCACCCGAGCTTGATGTATGCGACTACAGAGCTCTGGAGACTATCTGCCTGTTTCATTGGATGCAGAAGACTGTCTCTCTATAATAAATGGTCCTGCTTGTAGTCGGCAGTTTGGGAGCATTAGGAACTGAAATGCATTAGGGCTGATTAGACCGACCAAGCCCAAGTACCCTCTCCTGGTAATGAGAACACTTTGTCACTCATTAACACTTCTAGCATTCTGGCCTTGTAGGAAGAGAGCACAAGGAAAGCATTTGCATTTTTTCTTGCCAGCAGAAACAGTTTCTTTTGATGAGGTGGAGAGAATGAAAGGGAAAATGAGAGAACAGTCAATTGCTGGCTACACTGGGAATGGTGATTGCGCAAAACAATGTCGTATGGAAAAAAGAGATTTAGGGGACACCTGATGAGAATATGCTTAATGCAGTCTATTTTCCTGAAAACATGTTGCTTTTCCCAGGGTCGCAATCATGCACAAGTACTGTAATTGTAACTGCATCTTAGATATGCTGTTATATAAAAAATACATCACTCAAATCCCATATATTGTACATTTGGATATTGAATTTCTTATGTTTCTAGTGGGGGGTTGTTTCGAGGAATAAAACCTTTTCTGGGAACAGAATTAAACGCAAATGGTTAATTTCAGTGTCACTTGTTCTATGAAATGATGTGTTGGTAACAGCTTTCTGAAACACAGTAGCTAACTTCTAGTGTCTATAAGGGAGCTGCTGTCAGTTGGTTCTGTTTCATGTTATAATTAACATTGGTTGCTCTGCTGAATAAGGCGGCTTCTGGCCAATTAGCAAGATAACAATTCAAAGAACAAATGTCTTTCTCAACAGAGGAGAGTTTTCACAGGCAGCCACTTGCAGTGCTTTGTAAATGAGACAAAGGCTTTGGAAGTGTATCCACCTCATTAGCCACTTTTTACCAGACGGAGATGAATAAACACAAACAATTTATTTCGTTCTTGGTCATTTTTGATTAATTAATTATGTGTTTATAGCCAGAGATGCCTCTGTGTAGCTGTAGAAGCTTGATCCTGACTGTACAGTCAGTAACTGAATAACCTTCCATTGCTCTTGATGACAATCCCATAGACAAAGTTCACCATTTAGATAAGTAGTGATTGTCAGAAAATATTGAAGTTGGAGGATTTATAACAGTATTGTCCCAATTCTCTCAAATCTGTTTTAGAATTCCTTTTAAAGTGCTAATATTCAAAATCAAGGCTCATTATGGTCTTGCAAGATAGTATATAACCAAACTTCAAACCTGTTCTGTTCCCCTGAGGTCCGCATTTTTGGATATGTATCTATTCCAGAGTCAAGGTTAATAACCAAGTGTGATGAAAGCTGTGTTGGCTCCTTGGCTCTGAAACAGCCTTCTACTACAGCCCTGCCAACAATGTCTCTGCTTTACATTTCATCCTAAAGCACATTTTATTGAAAGGTTTTTCATAACAAGTATCACATAACACATATTCACTGTTTTATTGTAAGATGACCTTTTTGAATAGGACATCTTCTGTAATAATGAATGTGTTGTGCTTTTATAAATACATAGAACTATTTTTGTGATAATGACTATTATAAAAATCAACCAGCTTCAGTTAACAATTATATATACAGTCTATGCTTCAAACCGACAATAGTCATGTATAAAAAATGCAGCTCCTTCAGCGATTTCAGTTGTACATGATCATCTAGTATCCAGTATACTACTATCATATTATATAATATCAGATAATGCATGAGTTTTTTTTTTCAACTTTCAACAACTCACCAATGCTGTAGCTTGACTTTTCTAACTTAAACTTGAAATGTCAAGTTTATTCTTAGCATTTCAACTTTATTTTCGATATTATAACTTTATTATTTTCTTATTTTTACCATATTTTAAACAAATAACATAGAAAATACTCATACTCCGATTTATATCTACTAAAAAAGGCACTTAGACTGAAAGTTCAACTTTATTCTCAAAATGTAAAAGAAGACCTTTTTTCTCTGATTAATTTTTTTGTCATGTGTACAAAACAATGCGGGACTTTTACGGCATCAGGGTGAAATATAAGAAATCAGTCAACTAAGATACATCAGACTAAATGTCACAACACAGTTGGGCACAGTGCCTAGGCTGAAACTCTGAAAAGACTAAAACACTTTTATGAAACCTCATTATAGATACATATTCATTAAGCTTATGGGAAAGTGTACAAAAAAAGCAGGGTATTTTATCTGTGTAATAACTATTTAAATGAATGTTTTTGTAACTAAAATATGATTATGATATGCTCTTGATATCCTTCCATAGGAAAACATTGGCTGGGCGGGTGATAATGATGTTATCAGGTCTACTTTCCTTAAGACATGTCTTGTGATTCCTCAGTGAAGTTAAAACAACTCACTCATATCTCACTGCTACTTAAAGCTGAAGTGCTCCAGTGCAACTTCAAATCGCAGAAAAAGGCTCTATTTCAAGGATAACAAACACCATAAATCTTTCTCACTGCGCTCCTTCAATCAGATGTTTCTTCTTGCACGCACAAACTAGAAAAATGATTATCACAAGCCTGCATGGCTGCATGTTCTCTGCACTCGCTGTCTAATTCAAAAACAAAGAGAAGCAGCCGCTGGGTAAAGTTCATCCGAAGAGAAGTGATTCATGTTTATGATCCTCTCTAACACCTCCAATGTGGCTTCCGTCGTGTTTTACATATCGCTGTCTGCTCCCCTAGTGTGTGACTGCAAAAGGCTTTGAAGGTGTCAGATTAATTGAAAGGTTTCTTTTTAAAGGAGAAAAATGCCTGAATCGATTTTTCCCATCTTAGAATAAAAAACCCTGAAAACTATTGTTAGTGTGTGAAGGAGACTTTTGGTTTAAGGTGCTGGTGAAAAGAAAGGTTCTGAATGACACAGTGTGGGATTCCTCACAACATGTTTGTATTTCTCCACTGGGCCAGGGCTGATAACACTGTTTACTTTCCCCCGAACCAGAATACAGAGATTAGCTCTGTTTTTCTCACCGAGAGTCGAGCCCTCAAGGAGTTTTTGGTGTACTGCTTCATCATCAGTACCAATATCTACAAAAGCATCAACCACAAAACTAATAACATCACAAACCATTCATCACCTGAAATGTTTCATTATGATCAACAATCCTACAACTTCAAGGGATGAATTTCAAGATGAGAAGAACTTCCTTGATGGTATTCAAGTGCTTTTTTGAAATCATTGATTCTCACTCACCTCCGGGCCCTGCGATGACTGTGGTGTTTGCGTCCTTTCCCTTTGATGCAGCCATTTCTGTCCGCGCTGTCCGCGCTGTCCACCCTGGTATCCACAGCTTTTCTCTCATCAGTCTTGAGCGGCTGGCAGGCGGCTGTCTCCAAGCTGTGAGGCAGAAATTGAATTACTGTTTGCTCTCCTGCCTTTGCATGAGAACTTTTCTTAAAGCCTCTATCATACAAAAGTGAGGATGATTTTGGCATGCTTGGTTAGCCTTATTCCCTCTGGTCTATTGGATAAGCATTTTATTCCCCTCCATTTCTCCCTGCCAGCCATTCTCTGGGGAAATTGGAGGGCAGCCATTTCCCATTCAAATCGAGGTGTCAATTGAAATGTTATTAACATGCTTCAGTTAACCTGCATTTTGGTAAAGGGTGTTTTCTCATGTGCTGGGCAGATGTAGCGACATGAGATGCATGGTTATTGGTATGGTTAAAGTTCTCTTTCAAATGTGTTTCTGATAAACCAGAGCTATACAATTGTAGTTAGCAGTCTATTTTAAAGCAGGCATAAAAAAGAAAAGGTTTAAGCAATTTTTAAAACAAGGTAAATCATTTCTGGCTTCCGAACAATGCTGCTTTAAGTCAGGTGTTCAAAATGTTCATCCATAGTCAAGTTTGGCTGCAGAACAAATGACTAAATAAACTGAATGATTATATGTGAGCACACAGTTCTAGCCCTGCCTATTATCCTCTGTTTCAGTCATGGGAGATTTGAGCGTAATTACACATTCTCCTCTTCTTCGAGTGGCTCCCGTCTGATTGTAATGAGAAGATAATCAGAGACGGAGATTACTCCTCCTCTTCCCCCAGAGACGAGCAGGCAGGAGCCGTCCCTTTCCATCTTCCTCACCTTCACTTCCCTCTGATTCTCTGCATAGTATGGGGATTGCCCCCGGCACGGAACTAATAATGTAAAATGGCAGACTGGGTGCCCCAACATGACCAAGGGTTTGGAAGGTGATGAAGGAGATAAAGATGATTACTCTGATGAAGGAGGCTGATGGGAAAGGACCCTTCAAAGGTCCTGTTGATCATTGCAAATGTTCTCCAATGTTTGTTAGAGACGAAAATACAAGTTTGATAGTATTATTCAATGTATCGTTGCATGGAATTATTGCTGTTAGAGATGACAAATTGAGGATTGATTTATAATTATTTTTACAGTGGTTGATAATTTAAGACAGCCGATTGGTCTGTTCGATTTTCTATACTGCTCCTTAAGGCTGCATTTTAGTTGGAAGCGTCAGGTCAAACAGCGAATATGGTTAAATTATCTTTTCCGATCACCTGTGTACTTCACGATAGTTGTGGTTGATTGGTCGGCATCATACATGTCTGCCATGTCTCGAGGCAGTCATTTATTGGTATTTGATTAGTTATTTTGTAACAGTGACCATCTAAAATGGGAAATTATTTTCTAGACTAATCCCAGCTAACAGTAGGAGGTTCATATAGTGATTTTGTGCATACCCCAATAATAGGCCCATCAGCACTACTGCCTGATTTCAGCTATTTAATGTTCTCCTGCTACCCTACTGCTCTTGTATTTGCATTTAGATGTAAATATGTTTCTTATATGTGGGGGTGCATATTGAATGCATAACCAAAACCAACAACCGCGTAACTTGATCGTTACTTCACTGCGATCCGGCAATAATAAAGCAAAGTAGAATATAAAGACCATGTTAAACCAAGGACATTTTTTTTTTCCTAGGAAATCCTGGCTCTATAGGTGAGTCATTCAGACCAATAAAACACCAAACTCCTGCATTTTTTTACTCATCTGATGCATTCTAAAAAATCCAACATAGCACAAGAATTCTGCAGAATCACTGTCAATTCACAGGTATTAAGCAGACCTCATGTAAGGAGGTGTTTCGCTGGATTTAGGCAAATATATTGATGTCTAAGACATTGTTAATACTTCCTGCGAAGATCTGAATATAAATAATTATACTTGACACAAAAAGGATGAAACATTTGTGCTGTCAAATGCTCCGTTCAAAGTCCCTAAGTAAAGCAGAAGTGTAAAGTGGCCAAGGCTCCTTGAACCGCCCTCCCTTCTGTGCATCTTTGTTATTTGCTGCCACTGTAAGAGCTGCTTTTGATGAGTTCTAAATGAAATCGATTTGGCCATCAAGGATGCACATTCCCTTGATGATTATATATATTATATATATATATCCCTCAATTTATGGCCCAAACATTCCAAGCTATAAGCACCAGGATTTATCTCGGACTGTTTGTATCTGTCACACACACTAACACACAGGCGTTCAAACAAACACACACAAGCATAGAAAATCCTTTTTGAAAAAGTCCTTCATAACCAGGCAGCGGTTGAATTTATTTAAAAAGGGACAATTCAAAGCACCAGACTTGCAAAAAGCTTGAAATGAAAGCAAATACTGAGCCGATTAAGTCACAGTTGATGACGAAGAATTATGTGGACGTTAATCCTCCAAAATACTGACTGGATTTGTTTACCATAACACAGGTGAAATAAAGTCATAGAATGGGATCAGCTCCATTACACTCCCTGTTGAAATAAGGCATGATGGGAATGCCACTCATTGAAACCATTGAATGCACACAGCCGATTCTGGAAGCATCTCACTTTTTGACTTTGTGACCTTTTCCTCTCATCATGTGTCATACTGTACATGTTTGCCTCAGCACTACTGCCTTGGCGATGAGTAATTCTGTCACCGGAGGCTAAGAGGGGTGACCATGCGGTGACTAGCTCTCATTTAAGTCTTTGTCTCCTCTCAACATGGGGCTTCTCGGCCCTGTCATACAGGGCTGCTGTACGCTGGCACGTGGATGGATAACACATACTGACAGATGGTGCACACTGCAAACAGGAAGAGAACACTCTTGTAAAAGAGAGTGAGGATGTGATTATTAGATCCTCCTCTAAATGTGGGATAGATTGTAGCAGTGATTCCTGAAGTGAATTTCATCCAGAGCACTATTCTTTTAGTGCCACATATGTGTTAGTGCAAATTAGTTGAATCTATTAATTTACTAAATGTTTTAGCTCCATTTCATCATTTGAATTTATCCATTCGTTTAGTAAGCAAATTATCTTTGGATTACTGTTGGTCTGACAAAGTAAGCACTTTTTGAGTTACACAGGAATTATCCATATTTGAGAGGCTGAAAACATTTTAATGACCAAAATTATAAATGGAGCAACATTTTGTATTTCATAGATAACACATCGTTAGTTGAGGCATTTCATTGCGTGTGGATGTCGTTTTCAGGTAACAGTGCAGGATTACAAATGTGAAACATTACCAAAGGGTCTGTTGGTAAAGAAAAAAGGGATGATAAAAGAGAACTTCTCTGCGCTGATATATTCATAGACCATCATCGACTGCCAGGTCCAGGGGAGGATCATCACAGTTTGTGTACAGTTTCATTGTCCACAGCCCATTTACGATGTTAAATTCAGATAAACTGCTACAATATCTGCCAGGAGCTGCTCTGTAATCTGCCAGCTGCTTTACACAACACTGCATGGCTTTATGTGGGAGGGCTCAAACTCACAACACCGGCTGACATTGTACAGGTGTGCACGAAGCAAAGAAGCATGCAGGCAGCCATTAAACAAACCAGCAAAACAGTGCTGCACAGCTACGGTGTTTGCATTAAAACCGTGTCAAAATCACACCATGCGATTAACACAGATTGCAATATCAGCTGCCTTCAATTACATTCTGCAAAACATGTTTTCATCTGCACTCGGCTTTTTCAAATCAAGTGTTTACTCCAAGCGTGGGAAGAAAAAACACCTGACAGTTTGCTTCAGGAGGCCTTCTGGGTACGTTTGAGTGTGTGCAGAGCTGGAGGATCTATCCACACAACAACACACACAGCACTCAAATGCAACCTTTTCCTTCTAACCCTTATGTCTATAAACACCCCACTGTGACAGAACAAGATCTTACCAGATAGATTTAAGAGGCACTAGAGGGGCATTTGTACATTTTCTGTGATTCGATCTGTCCCTGAAAGCGCAACAAGACAAATCCACTTTGTTGTGTTCTGCCGTCTCAGCGTAAATCAGTGTACTATCACATACTTTGCTTCTAGGGTCTATTTGGCACAATTATTTTGGTTTGATTAGACATCTCTGCACCAGTGCATGCTGGATTATCCACACAATTTCAACTCAACTTAATCTCTGTGCCCAGCAAAGAAATAGTCTAGTACATAGCCATTAATAACACTGCAATTTTTTAACAAATTTCTGTATAAAATGATAATTAGTAAGCTCTAGAAATGCTGGTATTCCAATGTTGATACCATTGGAGAGCATGAATAGTTAGTAAGTAACCTTAGTAAGTTAACTTCCTGATGCTGGCAGTTGCTTCATATGAACCATACAGCCATGAGAGTGGTGTTGATTTTCTTATCCTGCACTATTTCTTTAAAATTAAGCTATATTTAATTGGGACATTACATTACAGTGAATGTATGGCCTGTAGTGTGGACATAACTTATTAAAAGTGAAACCACACATTGATTTTTCTTTACTGAGGGATTTTTCAGGGTCAGAGAGTCTTTCACTTTTGCTAGAAGGGCACTTGCAGAGACTTACACCAAGGCCATTTCAATGAGGGAAAAATAAAGGGCATATCCGCCCTGTGATTCGGATCCACTTCCACATTTAATGTAAATGTAAATGAAAAATTGAAAAGAATACTTTCTTGCTAAATGTAAGAAGTATTTATTTCTTATCACTTTAATTATCTAAACCCCAAAGTATGAAACGTTACAATGATAATTGCTCATTTCTAATGACATTTAACAATGCTTATTTAACTCGATTTTTTCTTCTAGAAACTTTTCTAATGGGTTGAGAAAAACATTTTGATGTTTGTTGTGAAATGTTAAGTGACTTTTGTTTTTGGTGACTTTATTTTAAAATCCTAAACTGAGGGTCATTTTAGTTGCCATGCCATCCCTACATCTTCCTGCAGATTGCTGAGAAGACCTAAACCTAATAGAGAAGGGGAATAACAAACTGTGGCAAACAAGACAGGGGACATACACAGAAGGATCAATACATCTAACCCAAAAGCAACAACAGGAAAA